GTATGTATTTTCCTAATACAATAAAAACGTATTACCTACACATTTATTGCCTAAATATACTTAATTTTGAGGATACATTTCAATTTGATAAAAAAATATTGCAGCTTCCTTAAAAATTTAACCTAAAAATTGTGTTGGGTATGTTACCAGTGGTGTATCAAGTAACTATCAGCTGTATTGTCAAAAATGGGGTTTTGAATTTGTTGTAAACATTTATGTCTTAGTAAAGTCTAATAGGTACATAAATAGTCTAAAATTTATGATGAAAATATTTGGTAATCTTTATTTAATAAAATTGTAAACCAATTTAAATGGCTTGAATAATTATGTATAAAATCATGGATTACCACAATTAGTTGTAATGTTTATTTCAGTATGGTAATGTAATTTTAATAAAGGACTCAATACATACTTTTTATAGAGGTTTTCCCTTATGTTTAAACACATTTTACATTTTAATTTGAAATTAGGTAGATTGACAATCCTCTCTTACCCTTTTAGTAGGTACTTACTTTAAGGAATTCAGTAATAGATGCAGGACTGCCAGACTGCCTGGCATACCTACCTTTTCTAACATATCCACACATTTGTAATTAGTTAAGAGAAACTGATATTGCATAAGATTTTATAGAATTCTAAAAATATCTTTTCAAATTACTTTTATTAGAATTTAGTTTTTTCAATTAGCTATTTTTAGATTTTTTATAGAAATAAAATTATAACAGCCTAATTGATCATTAGGCATTGTGTTTTTAATTGAATGTAGAAAAACTGAGACAATTTTAGCGGTAATTTTGAAGAATGAAGAATAATACATTTCATTATATGGTCGAGTTTAAGCGGCTGTTGATGAACTTGGCTGGTAAGTTACAATGCCAACGGAGGGCGCTACGGGTCGGGTCTGGATGTTGCTGCTGTGCGAGTTGTGTGTCGTGTTATCCGGAATTTCTACGATCCAGACGGACGGTCGGGCAACGACGTGCTTGCTTGCAGGCGTTTTATTTTTTTTGTAACTCTAGGACACAGGAGTTTCCGTTCGGAATCACTAAATTTTAGGATATTATAAAAGTTCTTGTTATAATCAAATAGATAGATATTTATTGATGTAAAATAAAAATAAATATTTTACATGTGTCAATGTTAAAAGTATAAAAAAAGATATATAGGTATAGATACAGAAAATACAGTTACAATTTAGAAAAATATAGACAAAAAAAATATATATATATTATAGATACACATTCACATAACATATTAAAACATACTTAAAAGATATAAATTAAAAAGGTATAATCACCAAAAAGGTTTACACATTACTCACATGCACAGATGGACACGTGATAAGAATTCGTCAATGAAATAAAAGTAGTGACTCGACAAAAATTTGCGAATTCTTATTTTAAATAAATTAAAAGATGAGTTTTTATAAGCTTGAGGTAGGAAATTGTACACTTTAATGCTGATATATCTATAAGAATCATGAAGTTTAGTTAATCTGTAATTAGGTAAAGATATATCGTAATTTCCTCTGGTGCAATAAGAATATTTAAAGGTCATTATTATTAACATTTGAATGTGATATTTAAAATCTAGTTCGGGTCTAAATATATTCCTAAAAGTTTAACCTGTTCCTCACTTTTAGCAATGATAGAAAATGACATTTGCTGAGTTTTTGCTTCGTTTAATGTAAGACCATTGCTACCAAATCAATTATTTGACATAACTTCTGCTTCATTTAGCCTTTCTATTGCATCAGATTTATTTTTATCTGTAGCAATATATGTAGAACCATCAGCATAATACATCTGTATGATATTTCTTAGATTAATTGACAAATCATTAAAGTAAATGATAGAAAGTATGGGTCCGAGAACAGAACCCTGTGGAACTCCATACAGTACTGAATTCTTGCCCGAAGTATGCCCATCAATTTGAACATATTGAGTTCTTTTTTGCAAATAAGAGGTAATAAGCTGTAATGGTGTCCCTCTAACTCCATATCTATAATTTTAATAATAAAATGTCATGTTGAACCGTATCGAACGCTCTCGTAAGGTCATAAAATCTGGTAGCACTATGTGAACGATCCTCAAAACCATCCGTAACAGCTTCATAGTGGTCACATATTGCGTTAATTGTTGATTTGTTTTACCTGTAACCGAATTGATTTTGGCTTAGCAACTTGTTGCTTTCAAATAAATTCATAATTCTTTCTTTTAACACTATTTCAAATTTTTTGCTTACTATTGGTATAATTGAGATAGGTCTGTAAGCAGATGGTAGATTCATGTCCCCTTTTTTGAAGACAGGGGTAACTCGTGATACTTTAAATGTATCTGGAAAAACTCCAGATTTTATGCACAAATTAATTAGATTATTAGGTAATTTGATGATTAAATTGTTAACATTCATTTTTAAATATAGGTAGATCTTAGATATTTCTTTTTAACAAATTATTAAAAGAATTTTAATGTAACTATCTATATTAATTTTGCATTTTGGTTCACATACATACTTAATTAGATAATTAAATGACATAACCGTAATAACGCAGTTCATATAGTGTCTCACTTGGCATTTCGCGACTATTTCGTGAATCTGGTTCAATTCTCGTTTTTCTATTTTTTTTTTTTTTATTTTGAAAAATATGAAAATTGAAAAAATACGAATATTGTTTATTTATTTAAAATTAATGGTTTTTATTTTGTATCCCTACAATTATTCTTTGCGCTATTTATATTTTGTACCATTTTAATTATTTTTCAGAAAAAAATTGTGAGTAGAAAAATGGGTAATCATTAATAATAACAAAAGTTTTTTTTCACGGTTGTTCAACTTATTTGTTAAAAAAAATAAAATTATGTAAAACATTAAATTATTCTAATATTTTTGTATCTAATGTTATTTTATCTTTATTATCCTATGAAATTGTTTGTAAATGGAATCGCAATATTTTTAATTTTGGCAAAACACTGTCTGTAAAACGCTTTAAAAATTATTTAATAAGGCATATACAAAAACAAATCTAAAACCAGCTACATCTTGAGGGAAACTTTATAGTCAGATTTCCTAATTTTACATTTTTTCATAAAATTATTTTGTGATCGTAGGAAAAATATTGTACATCACTTGTGTGAAAGTGATTTTTCACTCGCAACGTAATGTACTATTTTGTAACAATGTAAATTTTTCAATATAAGAATTTCCACTCCTACTTTATTTTTAAGTTACCTACTCATATTTTCCATTAAAGCTTAGTTTCGTTTTGTCTCTTTGGTTACATCATAAAATTAATGTAACATTTGATTAAATTTCCTTGCATTTTTTATTTCAAATATTTACACAATCGTTGAGCAAAGTAAATTATTCATTTAAAGTCGTCCCTTTTTTAATTTGATTTTATGATGCATTCAAAGAAATTATAATAATATGTATTAGTTTCAGTACCTCAAATAACAAGTGAAATTTTTAAATTGCATATACATTTTTAAAAATAAAAAATATTTCATCCCTTTGGCCCCCATACTAATTATATGGTATTAAGATCATTTGAGTGCAACAATTCATATATATTAGTACTAGGCCATTGGTGCAATAATTTTTTAAACAGGGTTGTATTTTCCCTAAAAAGTATTTTTAAGTTTTTCAATACTCTTTTAAGGAGGTCCTTTCGCCACCAATGTTAAATAAAAAATATTAGATTATGACTAAAATTAATTTTTTTCTAATAGTAGAAGTCCTTATTTATCTAATAGTGAACTTTTAACTATACCTTACCGTGCAAATTTTTGAGAAAAAATTTGTTTAAAAATGTGTGTGTGTTTGTACAGTGTCTTACGAAAAAGTAAGACTTCAACAACAATTTTCGAATTATAATTAATTTTACTATTATTTATTGATTAGATGGAGTAGAAAAAAACTAAAAATAAGGTTTTTGAAATATTAACGTTTTGTTTTTTACAATAAAATATATAGGTTACCGTGGAATTTATTGAGAAATTAATATTAAAAAATCACAAAAAATTTTCAACTAGGTTACTTCATATTTTTTTTTTAATATTAATTTTTCAATAAATTCCAAGGTAACCTATATATTTTATTGTAAAAAACAAAACCTAAATATTTTAAAAACCCTATTTTTAGTTTTTTTCTACTCCATCTAATCAATAAATAATAATATAATTCGAGAATTGTTGTTGAGGTCTTATTTTCTCGTAAGACACTGTACAAATACATTTAAAAAAAAAATCCTCAAAAATTTGCACGGTAAGGTATAGTTAAAAGTTCAACATTAGATAAATAAGGACTTCAACTATTAGAAAAAAAATAAATTTTAGTCATAATCTAATATTTTTTATTTAACATTGGTCGCGAAAGGACCTCCTTAAATCAATAAATAAAAAATGTTTTTTTTTAAATTATGTCCATTACCAATGCAATATAAATCTATGAGTTAAAACAATAAATCAAAATAACTACGAAATTTTGTTTGTTGTTCCTGAGTTACGTTCGTTTTCTGTTATTGATATTTATTTATAAAAACTTTAGCAAACAAGTAAGTAATGAAGGGGTTGTTATCAGAAACATCTCAGTTTCAGATATGCTTATCTACTTAAAAATAGTGGAACGATTAGCTGTGAGCAGAAGATTTAGTGGATAATTTTAAAACCCATATATTATTATATCAAACGATTTATCTGTAAATAATAAGTGAAAATGCAATATCTCACTGAAATAATTGCAATGTAAGTACCCACTTTCTCTAACAAAATTCTGTAATACAGATTGAACAACATAAAGAAATAAGTTGTGCTTTGTCTATGTGTTGTGTATGTGCTGTATATAGAGATAGAGACGATTGGCAAGACAGAGGGGGTACAGTATGTCCCTCCAAAGGGGTATCGTCACCTACACTCTACGTCCACCTTGTCAACCCCCCTTAGAAAGAGGCCACGCCTCCAGTGCGCACGCTGTCATCCCCACTGCTTAGATTCGGACAGCTCGCTTATGCGACATCTCTTCACTAACAGTGCTCCTGAATCGGTGCAGACCGATGCGACGTATGACATCGGTTGTCGTTTGTTTTGTGATTCTCGGCTGTTTCAAGCCTGGCCACCTCGATATTCGCGCTGAAACCATTGTTATGTGTTCTGTGTGATTCTGTGTTGAATGAATTTGGGTGGACAAGTGCCATTTTCCCAGGATTTATACTGCAGGTATATTATTATTAATTACTGGTAAAGTTTTATTTGAAAATTAGTGATTCTGGCCACTCAGTACCATCATTACATGACAACTATATTAAGATAAATATCTTCTAATTTTGATCGACATAGGTATATCGACTAAAAATTTTTTGGGAAAGTTGACAAGCAGAAATTCAAAATTAATGTTTAGAACAGAGAATATGTGATTTAAATTTCCCGCTGTCAAAGAAACTTGATTGACCAATGTGGAGATTAGAGCCGGTCGGTAAATAAGAAATTTATAACTGAAACTGGTTTAATATGAAGCGCTTTAATTGGTCTGTTATTAATTAAACCAAGTAGGTATACGTTAATCTTCAATTGAAGAATTGACCTTTGGTGGGTTTAACGCAAATGTGGAATTTTAACGTAATAATTGGCAAAAAAAATTAATTAAAAGTATTTGTATATTTTTTTAGGCTGTAAACTTCCTGTCATATACGGATATTATTTACATTTTATAGAATATTTATCATATACTTAAAGTCTTCATAAAAAACATAACTTGCAGAAAAAAAAATCTTCTCTTAGTTATATAACTAATCTTAATTCAGAACAAAATAGTTTATTTATCACATGTAAATATAGATGTCATTTCCATAAAATGTTTTCTTAAAATCTGCACAGTTAGCAAAGAACACATGTTATATGATCAAAGGTTATTTAAGCAGAACATCTAAATTTTTCGTTGCGTTATCACCGGCACTTTTCGTAAGATAAACAAACATGGATCCTTAAATAAAGCGATATCTAATACTGAAAATATTGGGCTAATTGGAAGAGACTTGTCGTCAGGGGAAGTCATGAAGCCAATCTGTGCAGATAGCAAAACATTTACAGACACAGCGGTGTAAACAAATCTCGAGAACCTAATTTGTAATACAAATAAATTCGGGTAAACAGTCATTTACTGAAAATCAAATCTTGTAATTAAGCGACCTAATTATGTTGGGCAAGAAATTATTTACAAAAAAGATTAAGCTATTTCATCGCGAAAATTTAAAACTATCTCGTTTATTATTTAAACCTTTTGCGGTTTGTATGGCATTTTTTTCTCTGTTTCTCATTATATTTGATTTTATAAATTACAGGCTGCCGATGTGTAGACGAAATTAAATTTTAAAATTATTATATTTTACCTATAATTATTTTCTTCTAATACCAGTAGAGAAAATTGAAAGATTCAGATGAAGTTAAAAGTTGCTATAGTGGGAATCAAATTGTCGTGAGTGAAAAATAAGCTCTTTATTTAAAAAATGAGAAATAAGCGGAGACTGATAATGAAAGCAACTGGTTCTTCATTAAACAGCCATGGTACTTAAGTAATGTCATTAACTAAATTGACAATAATAATGATGCTAAAAGTCATCCCAAGAGTAATTTTAAGACCGTTGATGACACATGTTCTAATAGATCATTATATGAAAGGAAAAAACCGCTTTCTTAATACAGAAAGTGTTGAAAATAGTTTTTTTGTCCACCTTATGGAAATCGTCCCCGAGATTCCATCATCTCCCGTCGTTATTATTATGAATAGAAGAATAATTAGGTAGACAGAAATACTAGATTTAAATCTTAAACGACAATTCTCTAATATTACGAAAGGATACTTTTTTAACTGTAGGTATATAAATGATTAAAAGGTTTGGTCCAAAACGCATAGTAAAAAAGCTGACTTGGCACGATTGCATTTTTGGACCTTATTAATATTTAAAATGTTTCAACCAGCTATTTCATGCAGTGGTCAGAATCACAGACACTAAAATTACATAGTATTTTGCATATCATTTTTGCGAGAAGCAATAATTTTTAGTTAGGTATAATTTTCAAAATGGGCATCTGGATTTTGGCTGGCATGTTCGTCTTTTTATTAATAGCCCCCTTGCTCTAATGCCGAATTCAGATATTTAATGATATAGTTTTTTAAATAATAAGGGGCTTGTTATTAAATGTAATCGGCTACAGAACATTCTTTTTCTAAATGCAACCGAACTATTTATAGATTCACCTGAACTTCCAAAACTAAAATAAAACTAGTAAATAATATATTTATATACCTAGATGGATAATATATGTACGAATATTTTTGTTGTTATTTAAAATTGTTGTACCAATGACAAATTTTAAAAATACGATAAATGATAATTATTATTAATCCATCAGCAGTATGGGTAATTGATGATGATGATAATAATAATAATAAAAAAAAATATTATTATTATTATTATTTTACAATTTAAACATGTACCTAATAAAATTAAAATAAATTTAACATTAGATAATAAATAATAAAAAAAAATTAGGAATTTAAAAAAATATATAACATTTCAAACATTAAATACAATGAACACAATAAGCACATTTAAATGTTTAAAAAGATTTTTTATGCAGAATTTCATTTGTTTGATGTACAGACTTAAAATTAAAATATAAATAGATTTAATAATTAAGAAAATATTAACTTATAAAAAAGTCTTATAATAAGCAACGCTTTTTGCGCGATTACGTTTAGTACATTTTTGTTAAAAGGAAAATAGAGAAAAAGAAAATTTGAAATATTAGGTAAATCAAATATTTCACTAAAAAGAAAAATAATTTAAAATTTAAGAAGCATTAAACATTATTCCTACATTCATCTAGTCAAATATTTTCTCTTGAAATTTTGATCATTTTCTAGCTCTGTTATTGGTCTAATTATTGTATTTATTTATAGTTATTCTACAGATACCTAATATAAAACTTGAATAGGGCGTTTGACAAAGTACCTAGCTAAAAATTCGCCATGCCTAATACTTTTTAAATTTGACACAACCGATGAATTGAAATTTCGTTTTCCAATTATTGGCCCAAAGAAAAAACCATCTTGTTTATAAAAATAAGATTTTGAAGAACGGATTAGGTACGCGTCTTTAGAGTCAACCTAACCAGACTTATTTTACGGAAATTAACCATGATTGCCATTTAAAAAAACCTTTCCCACTAGAACGTGATCTTGCTAGTCAATTGGGTTCTTCAGAAAAGAAAAAAAATCGAGACATGCTTTGTTTGTTGTGCGTATAACGAGTGAATTTGACAAGTAATCAACATTCTGGATTCTGTAATTAACAATTTTAGTGTCCGACGGTGAACTGAAATGCTGATTATTTATCTAATGAAATTTTTGACACGAAACCGCTTTGTTGATCTTAACGTCGCTTTGTTTGTTTTATTTCCAGCTAGTTATTAATCGTCATGCATTGCAATTTCGAATTCTATAATAGATTTATTACTTGCCATTTTTCTTTACCACCTACCAAATTATTTATTAGCAATTAATTAAATTCGTTTAACATTCATACTGCGACTTTATTTTCACAGAAAGTCATGACAGATTTAAATTAGTAAACCAAAAAGTTTAGAAAAGGAGTCAAGGATTTATTAAACATAAATAATTTATTGGTGTATAAAAAGGCAACAAGAATGAAAGAAAATGCCAAAAAATCTGGTACCGTACAGGAAAACCTAACAAATTAGAGTTTATAATTATTTTTATCAGTAAAAGAAAATGGAACTATAAACTTTGAACGCGTTTTCTTAAAAACTACATTTTTCGAGACATCTCTCACGATAACTCAAAAACTGATTAAACGGTTGGCAATTATTCTGGTCTAATTCGATTATAAATTAAATTCTTGTTCGCATTAATTAAAACTAACAACAAAAAATATAAATAATTAAAAGGTTATGGGGCATCGCACATTTGAAATCGTAAATTTCAACACTTATTATTTATTCATCTTCTTCTTTATTTCATCTTCTTCTTTACTTTTTCTTCTTCCTGATTCACTACTTCTTCTTCTCCTTCATTTATACTCTTATGCGTGTCAGAGTATTATACATTTCTCATCTATTAACCCATCTCTTCCTTTCACTGCGGTTCTATTAGCTTATCTCCTCTGTTATCTTTGACTTCTTTCTTCCAAATTCCTCTTTTCTTTCTGTTCCTGGTTTTCTCTGCCCTCGTTTTATCTATACTGTCAGCATTTATGTCTCTTCTTGCTAAGTTACTCTGCTGCATTCTTATATTGTGGTCAATTTAATTGTTTCTTCTTTATTTGTGTTATTATATGAATATTTTTAGAACAGCAAAAATAGTCCTTATAACAAAGGTTATGTCTAATAACAAAATATATAAACAAAATGCGTGTACCTCATCTCAAATTTTGATAAAAATCTAGTTACCTTGTTATATCGTTCTTCACCTCTAAGATTTAAGTAATTTTTCTGTAAAACTTCCATTAGTCTATGGCCAATATTAATTGCTCATCATAGCTTATCTCCTCTGTTATCTTTGACTTCTTTCTTCCGAGTTCCTTTATTCTTTCTACCCTCTTTTTCTCTATTCTCACTTGTCTATACTGCCAGCATCTATTTATGTCTTCTTGCTAATTTATTTTGCTGCATTCTTATATTGTGTCCAGTTTAATAGTTTCTTCTTTATTTGTGTTATATGTATATTTTAGAACAGCAGTAAAAGTCCTTATACCAAAGGTTATGTCTAATTACAAACTATAAAAATAAAATGCGTGTAACTCAACCCAAATTTTGATAAAAATCTAGTTACCTAGTTATATCGTTCTTCACCTCTAAGATTTAAGTAATTTTTCTGTAAAACTTCCAACAGTCGATTGCCAATATTAAATGTTCATCATAGCTTATCTCCTCTGTTATCTTTGACTTCTTTCTTCCGAGTTCCTCTATTCTTTCTAACCCCTGTTTTTCTCTGTCCTCCTCTTGTCTATACTGTCAGCATCTATTTATGTCTTCTTGCTAATTTATTTTGCTTCATTCTTGTGTGTCCAGTTTAATAGTTTCTTCTTTATTTGTGTTATATGTATATTTTTAGAACAGCAAAAATAGATAAGCAAAAGTCCTTATACCAAAGGTTATGTCTAATAACAAACTACATAAATAAAATGCGTTTAACTCAT